AATTGTTTCATTTACACAAAATTTTTTAAAAATTGGTAAAACTAACCAATATATCATTTAGGGATACATGCACAGTTGGATTGTTTTGTATTTTGGGGCTTTTTTTTTTTTTTTGAGACGGAGTTTTGCTCATTGTCTCAGCTGGAGGGCAATGGCACAATCTTGGCTTATCACAACCTCCGCCTCACAGGTTCAAGCAATTTTCCTGCCTCAGCCTCCTGAGTAGCTAGGGTTACAGGCAGGCACCACCACACCTGGCCAATTTTGTATTTTTAGTAGAGATGGGTTTTCTCCATTTTGGTCAGGTTGCTCTCAACTTCTGACCTGAGGTGATTCACCCATCTTGGCCTCCCAAAGTGTTGGGATTACAGGCGTGAGCCACTGGGCCCAGCCACACAGTTGGTTATTTTTTTTTTAAGCAGAGAAATGATGGAGGGAGGCCAGGTACAGTGGCTCACGCCTGTAATCCCAGCACTTGGGAGGCCGAGGCAGGTGGATCACCTGAGGTCAGGAGTTTGAGACCAGCCTGTACAACATGGCGAAACCCTGATTCTACTAAAAATACAAAAATTAGCCAGGTGTGCTGGTGTGCGCCTGTAGTCCCAGCTACTCAGGAGGCTGAGGTGGGAGAATTGCTTGAACCTGGGAAGCGGAGGTTGTAGTGAGCCGAGACCACACCACTGCATGCCAGCATTGGTAGTAGAGCAAGCTCAAAAAACAAAAAGAAACGATGGAGGAGTTCATCATGGAGTGGCATGCAGGTGGCTTCTGTGGTATGGTAATGTTCCATTGGGTACATTTTACTGCTGTTCTCTAAACTGTGCATTTCCCCCCAACCCATTTATTCATTAAATATTAAGAGCTGACTCTAGGTCAGGCCTGTGCTGGGTGTTGGAGCTATAACAGTGTGCCAGTCCTCACAGAGGACATTGTAGTGAGGAGTTTGTGTGAATTAAAGATTCATGAATTCCAGCTACATTTTTTGCAGAAATAGACAAAGTGATCCTAAAACTCACGTGGAAAAGCAAGAACCTAGAATAGCCTAAACACTCTTGAAAAAGAAGATCAGGGCCGGGCGCGGTGGCTCAAGCCTGTAATCCCAGCACTTTGGGAGGCCGAGGCGGGTGGATCACGAGGTCAAGAGATCGAGACCATCCTGGTCAACATGGTGAAACCCCGTCTCTACTAAAAATACAAAAAATTAGCTGGGCATGGTGGCGCGTGCCTGTAGTCCCAGCTGCTCAGGAGGCTGAGGCAGGAGAATTGCCTGAACCCAGGAGGCGGAGGTTGCGGTGAGCCGAGATCGTGCCATTGCACTCCAGCCTGGGTAACAAGAGCGAAACTCCGTCTCAAAAAAAAAAAAAAAAAGAAGATCAGAGTTAGAGGGCTCACACTTCCCAATTTCAAAATTTACTTTTATTTATTTATTTATGTATTTTTTAATAGAGATGGGGTTTCACTATGTTGATCATGGCTGGTCTCCAAACTCCCGACCTTGTGATCCACCCACCTCAGCCTCCCAAAGTGTTGGGATTACAGGCGTGAGCCACCGCACCCGGCCTCAAAATTTACTTTGAAGCTACACTAACGAAGACAATTTGGGACTGACATAAAAATAAACATGTAGGCCGGGCACGGTGCCTCACACCTGTAATCCCAGCACTTTGGGAGGCCGAGGTAGGTGGATCACAAGGTCAAGAGTTCGACACCAGGCTGATCAACATGGTGAAACCCCGTATCTACTAAAAATACAAAAATTAGCTGGGGATGGTGGCACGTGCCTGTAATTCCAGATACTCAGGCGTTTGAGGCAGGAGAATTGCTTGAACCTGGGAGGCGGAGGTTGCTGTGAGCCGAGATCGTTCCATTGCACTCCAACCTGGGCGACGGAGTTTCTTTTACCATTCAGGAAGAGGCGAGAGGTGCCTATTAACATGATCGGCTGTTGCACAATGCAACAGAAAACATACACAACAATGTTCATGAAACATTGTTTGTAATAGCAAGGAAAATGGAAACAATCTAAATGTGCATCCCTATAGGAATGGATATTCAAACGATGGAATGCATATACATTGTAATACTGTGTGCCCTTAAGAAGAATAAACCAGTTCTATATAGACCTATGAGTATAGACCTCAAAAACATATGGGCTAAAAGCAAGTTGCAATACAACATGAACAATAAAATGACATTTATTTGAATTGAAAAGAAAAATGTATCTGCTCTGGGGATGGAAAGGGAGAGGAAATAACCTTAAGAGTGGTGGTTAAAGAGTTTATTTAGCTATATTATAATGTTTTATTTATTTACAGGGAAAAAGATGTACACTGGACAAAAGTATAACAATTATAAATTCTGGATTGTGAGAATAGGAGTGTTTGTCATATTATTTATGCTTTCTATGTTATTATTTGTGCTTACATTTTAAAAATATCATAAATTTCCTAAAATTATAAAAATATATGTATGTGTATATATTTACAATATTTTTATATTTAATCTGTATTATATAAGTGTATATGTCTATATTAACATATATATTTACTTAAGGACAATTAAGGAGTCTGCAGAGCAATCTCAGATTTTGGCCTGGCTGGGTGTGGTGGCTCACGCCTGTAATCCCAGCATTTTGGGAGGCCAAGGCAGGCAAATCACCTGAGGTCAAGAGTTTAAGACCAGCCTGGCCAACATGGTGAAACCCCTGTCTCTACTGAAAATACAAAAATTAGCTGGCTGTGGTGGCACACACGTGTGGTCCTAACTACTCAGGAGGCTAAGGTAGGAGAATGGCTTGAACCCAGACAGCAGAGGTTGCAGTGAGCTGAAAAACGCACAGAGCAACACTCTGTCTCAAAAACAAAAAGAGTCAGGGTGTGGCAACAGTGTAATTGCTGATGGCCTGACCATCAGCAATTACACTGTTTTGCAATGAACCATGGCAGGATCTCAGCGTGTACGCAGAGCTACTATTCTGTGGGGAGGAAGTGGATGATAGCTAGTTTGGGTATGACAGCTGCATCCTAGGAGCTTAGAAAAGGTTCCTGCTTTGGTCAAGACTTGTTTGGTTCCAACAATAGAAATAATTGGGTGACTTTGGCTTCTGATGCAATGAGATCGAAGGCTTGTTAGTTTTGTTTTGTTTTTGTTTTTTTTGGTTCCTCTGTTGCCCAGGCTGGAGTGCGGTGGCATAATCTCGACACACTGCAATCTCCACCTCCCAGATTCAAGCGATTCTTGTGCATCAGCCTCCCAAGTAGCTGGTATCACAGGTGCCCGGCTAGTTTTTGTGTTTTCAGTAGAGACAGGGTTTCACCATGTTGCCCAAGTTGGTCTCAAAATCCTGACCTCAAGTAATCCACTCACCTCAGCCTCCCAAAGTGCTGGGTTTACAGGCGTGAGCCACCAGCCATGGCTAAGATTCAGGGGTTTAAATGATGAAATCGGAACTTTTTCACTTGCCATCCACGAGCAGGTATGCTATAATCATGCTATGTGATGACAAGTAGCCTCAGCCTCTCAATGCTGTGTAACAAGCAACCTCAAAATCTCGATGGCTTACAATAACAAGCATTTCTTTCATGCTCACAGGTCCACAGGTTGGCTGTGATTAAGATGATAATCTGCACTGGCTGGGCTTGACTGGGCTCAGCTGGACTCCTGACTTCAGGTTGGCTACAGAAGCGAGGCCTGCAGTCTGCTAATGAGCTGCATGTCGCCATCCTGTGACCAAGGCAGAAGGATTAGCTGGGACATGTTCTTTTCATGGCAGAGGGGAGAAGGTTCAAAACAGTTGGTGGAAGGTCTTTTAAAGCCTCAGCTGGACATGTCCATCCACAGCCTACTGGTCAAAGCAAGGCATGCCACCAAGCCTAAAGTCAGTGAGCAGGAATTTGAATTCCATTTACTTTTTCGGGAAGCACTGCAAGGTCACATGGCAAAAGGTGTGGAAATTAAACAAATTTTCAGGCATGCTGAGCTGAGAGTAATCCAATCCACCGTACTATGTCTGAACTTTACTTGCCCTCGCTTGGTTCGTACTGCATGCAGGCTCTGTTGGTAAGGGCCAGAGGGCTAGTAGTCGTCTCTGTTTTACTTTCTCCAAGTTTAGCAGCCCTGCTGGGCAAAGACCATCTTTCCAGGTAACTTTATTTAAGTAAAAAAAAAACTCTTAGAAGGACTCCAACTGAGCTGACGGTGGTCTATACTTTCACCATACCAATCGCCACAACCAAGGAGGATAAAGTCCTCTGATGGGCCAGCCTAGGCCACATTTCCGCGCCTGGTCATCTGAGGCTGGACAGGAGATGGCCTTAGCTTTGCTAGCCTCACCGGGATCACATTACCTTGTAGAGAATGCCTAAAGGAACCGATGCTGGACATAGGCACTACAGGCTCTAATCATCATAAGAAACTAGAGGCCTGGGAAGCCAAGTAACAACCCAGCCCAGTGAAGTCAATGTGAGTGAAGCTGTCAGCGAATGCCAGGCCCCGGGCACCTGAGCCACAGCAGCGGGGCTTAGGCTGAAATTTCTGATATGCTTCTGATCCTCCTGTTGTGGACCTGGACAAGGACCCTGTGACGATGTGGAGCTTGCTCGGTATACGTCCAGCATTAAAAGCTAGGAAAAGCAATGGCGGGAGCAATGATGTCTGTGAAGCTGTATCGAAAAAGTTTTATTTATTTATTTATTTTATTTTGTGTTTTTTTTTGAGACGGAGTTTCGCTCTTGTTACCCAGGCTGGAGTGCAATGGCTCGATCTCGGCTCACCGCAACCTCCGCCTCCTGGGTTCAGGCAATTCTCCTGCCTCAACCTCCTCAGTAGCTGGGATTACAGGCACGCGCCGCCATGCCCAGCTAATTTTTTGTATTTTTAGTAGAGACGGGGTTTCACCATGCTGACCAGGATGGTCTCGATCTCTTGACCTCGTGATCCACCCGCCTCGGCCTCCCAAAGTGCTGGGATTACAGGCTTGAGCCACCACGCCCGACCTATTTATTTATTTTTAATGTGAGAAAGTAAACGCATCTGTATCTCAGGGAAAAGCTACACCACTTCAGCTTCTGGATTCAGTCATTCCTGCTTGTTCAGAACCACAGGGTAAAATGAGCACTGCATTTACAAAGGTCTAATCACAAGTGAGGGCACCGTCTCAACCTTTCACCGGGCGTCAAGGTGCAGCGGCCTCCGTAGACTTCTGACTCAGAACACCAGGCCAGACGCCATCTGGGAGCACATCTAGACTTTCTATGATAAAAAGGTATAATTTAGTTGAAGCAATAAAGTTGGTGAGTAAAGCCTTTTCAAATGAGCTGTAAGTGAGCGGAGGGGAGGACGCCCCAGGGGCAGTGTGGAGTTGCCCAGAGTGGAAGCGAGGCAGGCACTCGCTAATAAGCGCCCAGGCAGGAGGAGGGAGGACGCAGGCTGAGAACCTTTGGCCTCCAAGCAAGGCTTCCAAGGAAAACCAAAGGGCCGAGCTCCCCTTTCCTCCCGGTTCATTCTCTTTCCCTTGGGAGCCTGCCCTGCTCCCCACTCAAATTCTCAGCCTGAGAAAGTAATAGCACTCACCTCTCCAAATTCTTCCAGAGATTAGAGTGTGGCAGGAGGACAGCGCGCTTCTGGCCTGAGCTTTTGGAGGCCATGTGACTCCAGAATGAGTCCGCCTGGTTTTTGTGAATGAGCCTAACTAAAATGAGTCCTCTTATTTTTTCACCAGAAAAAACAAGATGTGTCGGGGGCTCTTCCGGCTGTGAAAGGGCTGTATCCCAGCAACAGCTCATGATGTTTCTGACAACTTACTAGCATTTATTTGAGGGTGATTAAAAACAGCATGTGTAAAGCATTCAAATTGTACTCTATGACAGTCTACTTCTCCCCATTCCTCCTCCCTAAACCAGAGCTCCTGTTTGCCGGTCAAATAAGCTACAACCAAAATAAAAGGTCTTTTTAGACAAGGATCAAGCCAGGTTAGGAATATTATAACTAGGCTTTCCAATCAATGTCAGGAGTTTGCATTTCTCCCTCTACCTGAGTCTGAAACCAATTACACTTCCAGGCCGTGGGGCCCCAGGTGCTGATCTCATGGCACCACGCGTGGGGCTCTGGGTCCAGAGGACAGTCTCTGCTGGCCGAGGCTGGGAGAATCATTTCATTGGTAGAAGTGTCTTAGCATGACTTGGCCACAGGACATCTTGGCTGTCACCCAGACTTATTTCAAAGGCGAGACTAAAATAAAGAGGGCTGGTCAGAGTTGGGGCAAGCAGAGATTGGGCCATCGCTACAGTTACAAAAGCAGCACTGATCCCTGTAGGGCAGCAGCGTCATCTCCTCGAGATACCAGATTCCCTCTGCCCTAGTTCTTTTCACAGACCAAAGACCAGGGCACTCCCTGAAGCCCAGCACTCGAGATATGCTCACACTCACATATTATGACGCTGGCTTTGGAAAGAAATTCAGCAAGGGTACTGGTTAAAAGCTCAAAAAGCAGGGAAATGCCATCTGCCCGAACTGTAGCAAGGGGTAGCTTGTATTGGGTAAAGGTTTCCTTTGTGGCTTTTAAGTCATTGGGTTGTTTTTCATTGGTTTTTGTTTTGTTAAAAAGCGTTGTGTCTGTTTGGGGGCTGAAGGGTCGAGTGGGTGTCTGCAGTGTGGCTTTACTCCCTTGGCCAGCGTGGAAAAGCAGTGGGTTTACTGGACATTTCCACTTCGTGTGCAAGAAAGCTGAGATTTACTGCCTCCAGCACATACAAGCTGCCTGTTGTTTTTAGTTTAGTTCTGTTGTTATTAGGTGTTTTTAAAACATATAAGTGTGTGTCAAAGTTGTATTTCACACTCTTGGAAGAAAATTTACAGGAAAAAGATAAAGGAGTGTTTAGTTGAAGGTCAGGAGGAGGTAGTAAGACTGGTTAAATGTCTAGTGAAAGGTTTTAGGCATGTCAGGATTATCAGTCACCTGGGTGGGTAACTTTTATTTTTAAAATTGTGGTAAAATATATATAATGTAACATATATTATTTCAACAATTTTTAAGTAGACCCCGGCACAGTGGCTAATACCTGTAATCTCAATGCTTTGGAAGGCTGAGGTGGGAGGATCATTTGAGGCCAGGAGTTTGAGACCAGCCTGGTCAACATCTCTAAACGTCATCTCTAAAAAAAGAAAAAAAATTGTTTTTCATATTTTTTGTTTTTTTTTGAGACAAAGTTTCACTCTTGTTGCCCAGGCTAGAGTGCAATGGCATGATCTCGGCTCACAACCTCCTTCTTCCAGGTTCAAGCGATTCTCCTGCCTCAGCCTCCCAAATAGCTGGGATTACAGGCACACACTACCACACCTGGCTGATTTTGCATTTTTAGTAGAGACAGGGTTTCTCCATGTTGGTCAGGCTGGTCTCAAACTCCCAGCCTCAGGTGATCTGTGCACCTTGGCCTCCCAAAGTGCTGGGATTACAGGCATGAGGCACCACGCCCGGCCAAATAAAGGTTTTTTTAATTAGCTGGGCATGGTGGCACATACCTGTAGTCCCAGCTACTTGGGAGGTCAAGGCAGGAGGATCACTTGAGCCTAGGAGTTCAAGGATGTAGTGAACTACGATCACATCACTGCCCTCCAGCGTGGGCAACAGAGCAAGAGCCTGTCTGTAAAGTAACAATTTTTAAATGCTCAAGTGAACAGTTCTGTGACATTGAGTGCACTCACATTTTTGTGCCACCATCACCACCATTCATCTCCAGATATTTTATTTCTTTCCCAACTGAAACTCTGTCCCCATTAAGCACTAACTCCCCAGCCTGCCTGGCCAGCCTCTGGTGGCCACCGTTCTACCCTCTGTTTCTGAATTTAACCATTTGTAGTAGCTCGTATAAGTGGAATCATGGAGTAGTCATCCTTTTGTGACTAGCTCATTTCACTTAGCACAACGCCTTCAACGTTTATTCACATTGGTAGTTAGTTCTTTATGGTTTGTTTTTCATTGTTTGGACCCTTAATCTTTGCTGCTTCTTGAAGACTTAGTAGTCTCAGACACTGAGGACAGGATTGCAGACAAAGTTTGGCCAGGAGGCTCCCTGCTCCTTCTCATCACCCTAAAATATCTTGGCCACACTGAATATATTTTTCTTTTTGAGATGGAGTCTCCCTCTGTTGCCCAGGTTGGAGTGCAGTGGTGCAATCATGGCTCACTTCAGCCTCAACCTCCCAGGCTCAAGTACTCTTCCTGCCTCACCCTCTCGAGTAGCTGCGCCACTACACCTGGCTAATTTTTTTTTTTTTTTACTTTTTGGGAGACATGGAGTCTCACTATGTTGCCCAGGCTGGTCATGAACTCCTGGCCTTGAGCGATCCTCCCCCTCTCCAACCTCCCAAAGTGCGGGGATTATAGGCATGAGCCACCACGCCCAGCCCGTACTGGACATTTCTCAGTGTTTTTTCCTGTCTGGCCTACTACCTAATTGGTGTGTTAATAGCTCTCAGGGCTCTTAGCTTGGCCCACGTTGCTTGCTCCTCTAGGCAAACCATGAGGATTTCCAAAGCAGACCAGCCTTTCAGGGCTCTCTGTCTCTACCTGTCTCTCTCTGTCCCTGTCTCTCTCTCTCTCTCTCTCTCTCTCTCTTTCTCTGTGTTTCCATCTCTGTCTCTGTCTCTGTCTTTCTCTCCTCCCCTCCTCAGCATCAGTATTTACCCAAAGAAGGCTTTGCTTTCCTCTTCCCTTCCTCTCAGGCTCAGGAGGCATGCCTTTTGTTTGCTTGTTTTTATAATCATTATTTGTAGGTAGTATATTCAAATGGCAAAATAGATAAGCAGTAAAAATGTGCAACGAGAAACCAATCTCCCCACCCACTTCCTGGTTTCCCTTTGCCACGCCAGCCACAGTGACCTTGACTACCTTTCTAGGGACGTTTACACATAAACAAGCTCAGGGGGCCTTTTTTTACACAAAAGATATCATCTTATACCCAACCACCTGTATCAGGCTTTCTGGAAAAAGCACAGAAAAGTAAGAGTGTCATAAATGATGTCTCCACCAACCAGAGTTGATTTAAAAAAATTTAGTATAGTTGTTTCTTTCTTTCTTTTTTTTACATAAAATGAGTAAAACACTACAGATGAAGTTGAAATATTCCATGGCTTTTGTGGCCAGTCCTATATCCTTCCTCCCGTCTGAGAGGGGAGCACTATTAGAATTAGTTGTAACCTTTCTGTAATTTTTTACATATCATATACATACATAGCTATATCACAGATGTATCTATGCATGTATATAATACATATGTATGTATATATGTATGTATATAATGCATCATTTTGTACAACAATCATGTTTAATATCCCCGCCCCCTACCGACAGGCAATTAGACTCTGCTCCCCAAATAATGCTACAGGAAATTTCTTGGGCAGACATCTTTGTGCACATGTGTGAGTGTATCTGTAGAATAATTTTGTAGAAGCAGGCTTACTGGATCAAAAGATAAGTGCTTTTTTATTTTGATAGTTTGTTTCAAAGAAAGGGTACCAATTTTTACTCCCACCAATAATGCACAGAACACCTATTTCTCCACATCTTCTTTCACATAGTAGTTTATCAGAATTTTTACTCATCTAATACATAAAAAATACCTTTTATACTTTGAATTTATCTATTGGAAACCATGTATTGGTAATGTATTAGAAACATGATAAAAATATTTCTTTGGCTGTAAATGCGGGTGAACACTTTTCATGTGTTTGAAAGCCAGGCATGTTTCTCTTTCTGTGGTTTTTTTAAGGTCCTTTGCCCATTTTTCTTTGGGGCTGATTATCTTATTCACTCTTAATGTACTTTGCATGTGAAGAAAATTAACTGACATATGTGTTGCAAATATTTTCCCAGTTAATTGCTTATATTTTGGTTTGTCTTAGCTGTTTTTGCCACATGGACATTTTTAATTTGTATGCCGTCAATTTTATCAATACTAATGTTTCTAAGTGGTGATAAATTTACTGTTTTCATTTAATTTTCCTCATTTCTCACCTGCTTCTCATTTCTAACTCAAATCATACCTCAGATTCCTGGGTCTAGGGCGAGATCAACAGCTGGAAGCCACACCCGGAGTTAATCCAGGTGAACCCTGGAGGGTCAACATAACCCGGAAGGCTCCAGGGGCCCTTGACTCAACTTTGCCCTGCTGTATATTTATAGGGCATCCTAAATCTGTCCTAAACACTGACACTTCCCAGACTTCTTTCAATCTGAAGAAACTTCTGGTTCCAAGTTGGTCTCCTTAAATGACCTTTGCCCCATGCAGGTCTGCACCCTTGGAGGTACCACGGCAGGGCTGGCACAGGGAAGCCAGGACCCTGGTGACCTACTGCTGCCTTTTCATTCTTTTCACTCCCCGTGGAGCAAGGTTTCTTACTGGCAGAGAAAGGAAAGGAAGAAAACAAGAGTGGACTCATGCTGTTGGCCTGGACTTGGAGGTTATCAGTGTGAACTCATGGTTTCCAATACATAAAGATATATAAAGAGATACAGATGTAAAAGTATGTGTAATATTTTGAATCTACTTTTACGTGTTCTTTATTTTTTATTATTTTATTTTATTCTTTTTTTTTTTTTTTTTTTTTTTTTTAGAAAAAGGTTTTCTCTTTTTTTACCCAGGCTGGAGTGCAATGGCACGATCTCGGCTCACCGCAACCTCCGCCTCCTGGGTTCAGGCAATTCTCCTGCCTCAGCCTCCTGAGTAGCTGGGATTACAGGCACGCGCCACCATGCCCAGCTAATTTTTTGTAGTTTTAGTAGAGACGGGGTTTCACCATGTTGACCAAGATGGTCTCGATCTCTTGACCTCGTGATCCACCCGCCTCGGCCTC